GATACACAAATTTCTGTATACCTTGGAATATACTTTTTCGCTAGGGATACACGACTCTTTTTGTCTCTCTCGCTTCTCTCTTGTCTTTCCGCGTACCCGCGTACCCGAATTCGTGCCGAACTTCAACTTCCCCGATTTTAATTATGGGCGCACGCATCGCGGTATACCGCGCCTAATTGCCTTACCGACATATGCGACAGTAAAGAGAAAATACATATGAAAGAGATATACATAAAACTTAATCCTACATACATAAAACTTAATCTCCTACAAGACAGTGAGTGAAATTCTCGAAAAATATATGTTTTCAGTACAATTTCCCATAAAACCTATGTTAAAAATGCCAACTTTGAGATTTAATATCTCAAAAACTAGACGTCAGATCTTCTCAAAATTGCAAATTTAAGTGTATTTAGGTTTTCTTTACAACATATTTTTAATTCAGATTTTTTTCTTTGACATGCTCTGATGGCGGAATCACCTTATTAATTAATTGTAAAATTTAGCATTTCAGACTTTGCATTGTAATATCTCCGCTCGTAGGGCACGTAGCGGAAAAATAAAAACACTTTTATTATATAATTCAAACCCAAGCTATCGATCAAGCTTACTTAGAACTTAATCGGTTGAGCGGTTATTGAGATCTCAAAATCTCGGGTACTCGCAACTCGTGCGTTCGCGTAAAAGAGTCACGGAGCGGTCCCGTTTCCCGTGTACTTGGTACGAGACACTACCGTGTCTCTTGATATATTTGCAATGAAAGGTGTGCTGTTTTACGAGTTCTTTTTATTATTTTTTCTGTATATACGAACACAGATTATACAAGAGAAAAAAAACATATATGGACATATTTCATATATAATTATATATATGTATGTTTTTATATAAAAAAATTTTTGCCGGGTACATCTTGTAATATAAGTGTAGAAAGTTTAGTTTTCAAAAATTGTGTGTAATTTCTACTATTGAGTGTAGATGGAAGAAAAAGTCTCCAATAATTCCAGTTTACACATTGCATGAAAACTTATATAGGTGTCGAGATTGATTAACAGCATGCGGATTTTCATACATCCATAGATGTTGGTTGCGAAAATTTATAGCGTCTCGCGTAAATTTTGTTTTATCTGTGAAAAAGAACAGATTTTTCGAAATATGGTGTTGCTAATGCACTTGTTGCAGGTATCACTATGGCTGCATTCCGATATTCACTGTCAGCAACTTTCAGTACTGAAAATCTACAGTATACGTGACGTAAAATATAGATTTGCAGTACTGACAGTGAATATCGGAATGCAGCCTTTATTACTGACAAAACGGCTGTTCTTCCGAAAACGTACGTCCATACTCCGATTTAGGTGAAACTTTGTGAATAGGATCCTTTTAAATAAAAAAGACATATACCAAAAGGATTTTTTGCGACTCCAAAATTTAGCAACTTTCTTAACATTTTTAACTTGCTGCATCCGCGCATACACTTTCTACGCGAAACGAGGTGCCACATGGTTTTACAACTTTCCACGCGTGGAAAGCCCACGCATGTATGTACTTTGAAGGCACACTATTAGCGTTTTTCACTGGGAAAACTAGTGCGCACTAAGTGCGCACTCGCCGCAGGCAACGTGTTTCACTGGGCGTTTCGATGCGCGCGAAAATGGTGCGCGCTGTTTCACTGGGAAGTCTAGTGCCGAGTTTTTGCACTATAGTGCGAGAATTCGGCACGAGCTCCGAGAGACGGTGTCAGTTCAGTGCAACATGGCTGCGTGGGATGGTGACAATGTTTCAAATTCACGAGATACACGATTAGCATTTGGACTATTAAATTTGCTTTCTTCTTCATCATCCAGTATTGATAAAGATGATTTATTATTAAAAGAAAATCCGCGGAAAATTCCAAAGATCGAAAACTTTGTTCAAATAATGCATAATCTTATAATAAGTATGTAAGTACATATATATTTATTGTTTCTGCAGATTATTGTATTACGTGAAACAATACCCTTATAGAAATTTAATACTGTAAGTGATTATTTGGCTAGTAATTAATGACTTATTTTGAGTATTAAAATCATTAAAAACAGTACTTTTAATACTCAAAATAAGTAATCAATCACTAGCCAAATAATCACTTACAGTATATTAAATTTCTGTAAAGGTAATATGTAGTGTATAAATATATGTAGTATCAATGCTATATACAAATATTATATTATATTATTTTATATTTATCTATTTCATAGGCTTTTCCGAAATAAAAATCAAATTCTAATATAAGGCATGTAAGCCTGGCTGGACGTTGTCGTTATTATTTGAAGGTTTTCTTTTTTTTTATAATTATAAATATTATTTATTATTCGCATATATCAACAAACGTTTCGACTCTCCGTTTGGGTCCTCTTCAGTATTCTTTCGATTTGTAAACAATAATGTCTTCAATCCTAGTATAAGGACTGATTAAAATAATAGGCAAGCGAGAAGAAAAGCAATAAAAATGTATTCATCTTAAAATATTTATTTATATTGTAAAAATATTAATTAAAATATGTTTACCTTAAAATTATTAATTATATGTATTGCATTAAACATATATAACGGATTGCGGATATTTTTTGTTTACAAAGGAACGTTAAAGAGGACCCGAACGAAAGGTCAAAACGTTTGTTGTAATGTATGCGAATAGTAAATAAATATTTTTAATTTCAAAAAAAGAAGATCCTTAAATAATAACGACACCAACTGGCCAGACTTACATGTTTTATATTAATAATTAAATTATATTATTTTTACAGTTCAAAAGTCATTTTTGGATTGCAAGAACAACAGCTTACAAAATAATAAAAATTTATGAATATTCCGAATTCTATCCATTTGATCAGAGTCACGGAGGTAGTAAACCTACCACCGCAGAATTGGATATGTCATCATTTTTGTGATAATAAGTTAATATTTATTTGTATTGAACTACTACTCATAATTTCTGTGTTAATAGTAATTGAACACTCCATAGGTGTGCTGAGAATAAAGTCTGCCTTAGAGATGTGTCGTAAAGATTTGGAGTATGTCATGCAATAACTTTCAGGCAGAACAATCGAGTGCTTGATTTTTTAATTGATATAACGCTAAAGATCATAAAATTTGGAGACAACAAAGTTTCTGCAAAGATTATTAATATTATTATATGTATATATATAATTCTCTCTTCCTCTCCCTCCCCCTCCACCTCCCCCTCTCCCTATAATAGTCGATAATTGGTACTGCAATGTCTATTGCAATAAACTAAAGATTAACTACAGTTTATATTCTTCTAAAGTTAATCACAGATAATAGTTCATCACAGATGTCGATAGAGAAAAAAAACTAGTGTAGAAAAAAACAAAATTATGTAAGAAACAAACAAAATTATTAACCCTATTCGCTCCAACCATGCCTTTCGTGTCGCACGAATTTCTAACAGTCGTTTGTTCCGGAAAACAATGATCGTGGGAGAATATCCCCTCCACGCCGGAAAAAAGTTATTGTGGCAGGAAACCTCAGGTAAAAATTTCAAAGTCCTAGCTCATTTACTCTCGAAACGGGGAACAATCAAAATCTCGGTGGGACACGAAAGTGCATGGTTGGAGGATTACGTCAGTGTTGTGTGAAAGGTAAATGAGCATTTTTTTCGATAAAAATGTATTTTTGTGTATAATTTAACCGTATTTAAAATATTTTTGTCGTTAAAAAAAAAATTTAACATTCCACAGAGGTCTATTATGGCTCAGAGGCAGGTGGAAGAGGTGGGGAGGAGCTACAATTATATAAAAAAAATTAATTTTTTTACATAAAAAATATCTGTCACACTTTAAATTTGCCTTTTCTTATTCAGAATTTCTTTTTCTAGCATTCTTTAAGTCCTTAAAGTCCTTCTGTGCTATTTAAAAATTACCAAATTTGCGGCGACGAAATTAAGTATTCCTATTTAATTAATAATTATCTCATATTTTTTTTCTCATTTGCACTACTTTTAGCTTTAATTTGCGTTTTGGTTCATTAAGCTTCGTCAATTTGTTCGTGAGTTATGATTTTTTAAGTAAAACGAGTCGTAACGTGTGTTTGTCAACATATAATTGTTATAAAAAAATATTTAAATAAATGATTTTCAAATGTTCTTTACATTGATTTTTAGTCGAAGGTACAAAGGTATTATAATAATTTTTGGGGAATTTTTCAAAGCTATTAACATTATAAAAAACACGTGGGACTCGAAAGTGCATGGTTGGAGGATTATTGGGGTGAAAAAAACGTTGGAGTGAATAGGGTTAATAAAAAAAACATCTTACGATTGACACTTTCAGTATTTATATATAAGCTGCTTTCCTTTTAATATGAACACAGTCGATACGAGCATTTTTTTATCTTTGTTATTCATTGATGACTATCAGAAATTAAAAGGAAAACAGCCATAGTTAACAGTTCTAATATTACACCTATTACTATATTTGGTTTTTCTTTCTTCTTTGGCTAGTTTTCATTATTTTATTACTCTGTATTCGGTTTGGCGAACTTACGTATCAAGTTTAACTTTTCCCGATGTCGCTCTTTTGCGGCTTTCCTTTTTTCAAAGTCACCATACAAATCAAATACAGAGGCACAATGCGCCATAAAACCGCACTGAGAATAATGGACGTGTTTAGTTGGGAGTGCAAAAAACTTGCACTTTTGGTGCACTCCGGCAGTGTCGCCTGAACTCGACGAGTTTCCAGTGCGCACTCAGTTCTGCCCAGTGAAAAACGCTATATGTGTCTAGTTTAATAGTGGGAGCCCCCCACAGGGAGGGCGGAACCTACTGTCTCCATACACTTTTCACGCGAGACGAGTTGTCATATGGGTTTACAACGTTTCTGATTTTCTGAAGTTTCGCCAATGATGTTTATGTTATGAATTTGACGGGTATGACTTTATGGTTGTTTACATTACTTGAGAGCTCTTTTTTTGGTTTGTAATATACTGAGTTAGTTCGCTCACGACAAGAGTTGTGTGCAAACGTGTTTCTCGGGTAAGCATTTAAAATGACTGTACAATAATATATAGGACATAAGAAAAAGATGTGAAAAAGTATTTAAAAAATTGCTAAACTTTGGAGTCGCAAAAAATCCTTTTGGTATACTTATGTCTTTTTTATCTAAAAGGAATCTATTTACAAAGTTTGACCTAAATCTGAGCATGGACGTTTTTGAAAGTTTCGCCCAGATTTCCTCGTAAAATTTTCCGTACAGTTTTGCGAGAAACATTTTGCATTTGTAATGCAATCTGTCTCGTGCTTAGTTCTGGATTTTCTTCTACATGTCTAAAATACCTGATGGTCTTCAACTCCAGATGTTCGAACATGTCTATTTCGTCCTCGGTTAATTGTAATAGATGCGAAATATTCAGTTTTTCTAATTGTAAACTGACGATGCACCGAAGCAAATGAACTTTTAGCAGAATATCGTCTCTGAGGAAATTAAAGGCTGCCTCTCTGAGGACGCGCTGAGCTTCTGCGGTGTTTCCGTTAGCTCGTCCATAAGTGAAGTGAATATCTGCCCACTCGATATTAGAATAAGCCATCCTGATAGCACTGTCTTACTATGAAATTATTTAGATTGAGTTACTACAGACTGATTTACTACGGCATACGCTGTCAAAATGACTTGCTCTACTACATTACTACAAAAAGTGTTTATATCTCGGAGAAAAAGAGTTTTTGGACCTATGTTTATGACCTTTTTTTCATCCCTAGAAAAAATAGAATACGGTACCAAAGTTGACCACCTATTTCGGTGTCACCATGTATAGATCTTTATTATTAATGTTATTAATATCGCGTTTTTCAAATGATTAACAACTAAAAAAAGATTTAAAGACAAAACTGACATCTTTTTTCATGACTCGCAGTAAAGAATTCTATATGGTAATTGTATGGTATTGTATAATATTGTATGATAAAAAAGCATTACCTACACATATACATACTCGCGTAAGATTGTGTATGCATATATATTAATACAGAGTGAGATATTTATGACATAAAATATATTTGTACAAGTTTCAGGATAAATATAATGCAGGCAACAAATGTTTTATAACACGTCTTTTATGAGAGCATCAATGCTGTCGTTATTGCTCTAAATGTATATATGATTTTTTTAAGTATTTGATACTTAATATAATTATTCCATATAGAACAGAATCAAGATAAAATAATAAAAAATATTAATAATTTACAAATATTAAATATAAAATATTTTAATACAATAAAATATATTACAATATTATATGTATATTTAATGTAAAAAACCATGCTATAAAAAATTTATTGCACAACTCACATTTTCCTTTTGATATTGTAAAACTTTTGAAGCATAACATTTTAAGTAATTGTTACACAATACAGTATAAGCATATATTACATTGTAAATATTACATATATTACATATGTAAATTATCTAGAGTTCTTTCTAGTTCTATTGATGATACTAGAAACTTTGGACACACTTACTCAGGGATTTATTTTTCTTGAAAATAATACAGAATAGTGAAATACAGAATAAAATTGTATTACTATTTATCAATAGTAAAAAATGTAAATGTTGCTTCCAGACATCCTGATTAAATATTCATCTAAAATGTCAACTATTTAAAAGTTGAATTATATAAAAAATATAGGTATATTGGTCAACTATAAGGAGCATTTACATTTTATATTGGGACCTTTCCAGCAAGCAACACAAGCGACACAAGTATCGTTTTATCTTTGTTACTTATTGCTAAAGAAAGACAGAACGATGTTTGTGTCGACTTGTGTCGCTTGCTGGTAAGCTCCCAATGTAACATAAAACTTAGCTGATGTACGTTACAATGCTTCTTTAATAGTCACAAGTCTGTAATAATTATATAAAGATATATTATACTTCACATATCCACGCGCCGTGGACACATACGTATATCCAAATATATGTGTACACGTATGTATGTAATGTTACTACAATCAAGGGGAGACTGACAGAGAATCAGGAACAAGGATTACGAAATGAAGAGCAGCGCATATTTAAGAAAGGTAATTCACATACAACTGTTTATTGAGACATGTAGAATACATCTGGTCATACACAAAAATCTTTGACACTTTAAATCAAGCTCCTAGCCCGAAAAAAGGAACCATGTTATAACATTTGTCTTTAAATTCATCATTAATCATTATGTTTAACTACGTTTCACACTAAACTTAGGGGCAACTTGGAGAAATAAAAATTGCGGGAATTAAAAAGCGAAGCGATTGGTAGAGGAGGTGAATAATTAAAGAATCCGAGAAAACGCAAAATACAATTAGCAGTGATATGAAGAATTTGGCGATAAAAATTTTGCATATCTGTTTTACAGCCGCGGAGCCGACATGTAGCGCAAAAAAGATATAACATACATATGTATCTTTTTTTCTTTCCTTTTCGGGGATTTGGAGGCGGTATTTCTTATTAAATCTTTCGTTAATTATCGTACGATTTCCTTCTTTCTTGTTAATTAGTGCTAAATAACATCACGTCACAAAAATGCATATTCGTAGGAATATAATATATAATATATTTTATATAATATAATTAAAAAAACACGTGGTTCGTGGGCCACTTTGAACTAACGTTCGCAACATTTCGGCCCATGGATCACACAATATCCGCCTGACACGTGAGAGGTGGCCAATCGCGATACAAGCCCCGAATAATGTGAACGATTAAAAAAAAAAAATGATGTGTTGCGAATTATTGTTATTATTTAATCGGGGCATTGGCCGGGCAAAAAAAAGAAAAGCGCGCACGCGCACGGCTACGGCATCGCCAGCCACAGTGTGTGTGGTGCATTATCCTAAAATGCGACCGATAACCACCCCTGGCACCCCAGCTGCCACATCGATTATCAGAGTAGAAAAGAGGAAGAGGAAAGTGGAAAAAATAGAGTAAGAACGGGTAATTAGGATGGAAGGAGGATAAGAGTGGCGATAGTGAAAACGAGAAAGGAATACGATAGTGATACTTTTGGGGCGCCTTTTTAACCGGGGCAGAGCCGGTGGTATTATCGATAAACGCTAGTACCTAGATCAGTCTAAGAATCTCGTCACCGTGAACTGTCTCCGCTTTAGCCAAGTTATGCTTCCTTGCCCCCGCAAGCCGAACTCTCTCTTTAATCGTATCTCTGCATCTATGTATGTGTGTGTGTATACATGTGTAATATATATAACATATCCTCTTGCTTCTTTTTCAATATCTTTTTTTGCCTTTATTCTTTTCTCTATCATGCTCTTATTATTTCCTTTTATTAATTACATTTTTTGCATGAAAAAACCAGATTTTTTTTCTTTTATACTGGAATATTATCATGTGTCACAAAAACCCACTCAATTATGATTAGCAATATCATCCTTATCATATTGTTAATATTAATATTATTATATCCTCGATATTATGCTTTTATAAATAGGATGTGTAGGTAAGTAGAGTAGGTAAGTAGATATAAAATATGGTAAGCGAATAATCAGGGACGGTGGAAAAAGGAGGGGGCACGAGAATGAAAAGTAGATAGCTAACGCAAACCGCGTTTTCGCAATTCGCTCGAATTTTCCTTTCCTTTCCTTTTTTTCGTTTTTAGAAACAATGATCGCAATTACTGGGGACAAGATGTATATATAAAAACGGGAAATTTTTCTCTTGTCTAATCATTACTACTAGATGTCGTTAATTCATCGTTACCAGTAAAACAGTATCGATGACGAAGTATTAGACTTAAGTAAAACATGAATAAAAATTAACAAAATGTTCGTAAAATACGAGGTCGGGCGAACAATCTATCTGTCATCCAGACTTTTCGTCCGTTGGTGCGTCTATCATTTCGCATTTTTTACCGTGTGTGTGTTTTGTGTGTGTATGTTGTGTAGTATATGTAGCGTGAATCTACAAAATTATACATAGTAATTATCACATTACAGTAGGATGTATATGCGATTTTTTTTATCTCTGATTAATTGATCTGTGGCATTATTGTTTGGTGTAAAATTACTTAATATCGTGTTACATACATACATCATCCGTCAATCCTACTATTGTACCAAATCCAATCCGAGAGGCTAATATGTATAATCATTATATGTCAAGTGTTACGCGCGTACACGCGTGCGTGCGTGCGGTGTGTGTGTGTGTGTGTGTGTGTGTGTGTGTGTGTGTGTGTGTGTG